GGCAACCAATCGTTCCACAGCAAGGGCAGAGGTGGTTAAGATGAGGTTGTTACAAACCCCTGCTGTGTGTAATCATATTAGTAAGCAACATTTTTAAAAGGCTCTTGTAAAAAATAGGACAGAGGGAAAAGGAACGAGAGAAATTAATTTCCTCTATTTTTCTGCTTGCTCACTGATTGAGGTACAAGAGCAAATTATATGCATGTCCTGCACCTGAGGACACTTGGGGGCTGGCAGGGAAAAGCTGCTTTCTCCACAAACAATGCAGAGCCTCTGACACAGAGTGCAGTGGGCTAGATTTATCTGGGAAAATATAGTTTTGTTTCTAATGTGTTTTGAAATATGAAGTCTGAACAAAAGTGTTCTTCTAATGCAGAAGCTGAAGTCTCAGCTGGTTTGGCTACAAATTGCATTCTTGGGGGATTGCTGGAAGTCAACAAGGTCTTTGTGAGTAGGATTTACTCATATGAGTATGTGATTTGGAGATCAGACCCTAAAAATTAAAAGAGCATGTCCACAGCATCCTTCCATCAGCAGCAAACTCCTCTGAAGGAGATCTTTCCATAGATTCCTCCATCCCTTTACTCCCAGCTACTTATCTGATCTTCTAGAATTTGGGTGTACAGTGGCTGGATCATGAGCTGAAGCAGATAATTTTATTTTTGGTCCAAAGTAACCTCTCCAGGCAGCTATGTCAGTGATCCAGCCTGTTCTGCTGCCCCACAAACAGTTAGCCAGCATAGCTGAAAGCCGTGGCCATGAGCAGGTACTCCTAAATCAGAACTGCCAAAAAAAATCTGCCCTAATCCTTCACTGAATGGCACTTGTCACCTTTCCAATTCTAGACACTCCAGTGACCTTCCACTTAAACAAGGAACAATTCCTGCTTCACAAATGGCTCTTCCCATTGGTTTGCTTCTTTTTGTTTTGGTTAGGTTCAGTTGCTGGCTCCTGCTGAACTGTTTGCAAACCAGACTGGTGGCCCTCTAGACCCACTTGTGCAGATTCCAGTTTCCACAAGTTGAAATGGCTCCTGTATTATGTAGCTAGGTCTGCATCCACCCCATTTTCCACTCTCAGCCAGAAAGAAAACCCCACCCAAACTAATTTCAACTCCTCCTGCTGCAACACACAAGTTACTCAGTGGTACTTATTGCTTATTTTTCCTGCACAGGACACAGAGCATCACCCCCACATCCTGACATGAAAGGCACTGTGCTCAACAGCTCCAGAAGGAGGAGGATCAGAGGGAATTGTGTTCCTCATCCTCTTGGTGACATGTGATTTACTGGACAAATCAATCCTCCATCCATTTCTCTGCCTACCTCTCGCTTACTCAAGGGTGGTGGTGTCTAAACAGTGGTTTTACTGGGGGAGGGGTTGCACACAGATAACCTCCCACCTGCCCTCCAAGAATACCCCATATTAGGGGTTTGGCAAGAAAAAAGTCCTTCTCCAGCAGGTTGCATTGCCATGTGTGTCCCCTCCTACAGGTGAGCATCCCAGGCATCAGGAGTGGGATTCCCCTGGGATTGCCCTCCAGTGATGCTCCTATTGCCTAGTTCAGAGCAGCCACAGCAGGGCACAAACCAAATACATAACCTACAACACCAAAAAAACCCTGAATTTCTCCTTATTTGTATGACCTGAAACCAAACAACTACAATCAGAACACGCTGAAAAACTGAACCTACAACTTCGTGGGGCAACAGTTGGTAGTTGAAAAGCTGAAGCACCACAGCAGCCCATGTCTGTTGGATGAAATGTTGCCTTAGAATGTAGTGCCTCACATGTAATAAATATGATCCAGATCTTTGCTTTTCTGGCAATCAGCAGAGCTGATTTGTATTCATACAGGTATCCAGTGGCAAACTACAGAGCTTTCCTGCCTCTAGCTGGAACATCACTGAATCAGGTAAACACTAAATAACATTTGACCAGACCTTTTTCTTTCACTAAAATTAGACTTCAGCTCATTCTTAAGCTTGTAAGTTTGAACTCTCTGTATGACACTCAAGGAACTGAAAAACAGAGTTCTTTAGTTACCACAGGGCCCTTGAAGGAAGTGGTTCTTCCACACACAAGATGACCAGGGGTGGGGAATGGCTCTGTTATGTAATATTCTGAACTTATGGAAGGATGTTTGCTTGCCCTGCCATTCAAGGTTCACTTTAATATTGATATTTTAAGCCTTCATCCCTTTAAGGATCCTCAAAGTAATCTGCCTATCTTTATTTATTCAGCTCTTTTCTCCACTCCTTTCAGCAGAAAAATGAGTCCTGGTTTCACCGTTATCCCTCTCCTCCTTTTAAAAAATCTTTCCTGTTTCGTACATCCCCCTCAGCCTGCCATACCTCATCCTTCCCATGAAGAATTTAGGTGTGGGGTTGTTTGGTTTTGGTGAGGAAGGATGCTTTTATGTCGAGGTAGACAACTGCAGTTGAGGGTATTTAGGTTCTGCCCACAGGGCTTCTCACAGAGTGAGCAGCACACGGAGCAAGTCCCTACTTGACTTGTGTGGCATTGCTAAAAAGATAGGGATAATACTTCACTATTTCAAGGTGATGCAAAACTAGAGTGGTGCTTTTGAAATCATGCTGGAACAGCCTCTTCTCCCTCAAATAGAAGGTGCAATGGAGGCAGTGGTTTGTTATTATTATGTACTTACCCGATCTCATCTAGATTTTACATGTTTTTGCCCTGTGGTTATGTCAAATAGGCAAGAATACTGGAAATATGATTATATGCTATGAAGTAAATTGCTCTTATTTGCTGTTTTGTCCATAAAAGCTTCCTGCAGGAGCTCACAGGTAATTTTAGCTGTGTCAGAGAGGGTTTCACACACCAATGAAAATGTTTTCCTCTTCCCTGTCCTCATCGCCACCCCAGAGTGACTTGGGTGTCCACCTCTTCTCAGCCAGGTCAGTGAGGGGGCCATCTGGGGTGACATGGCTAACTTAGCTAGTCACACCTAATTAGTTTATATGAGCTGCACTTCCAAATTCATCTGTGCAAGCAGAAGCTCAGAGCATGGCAAGATACATCTTGGAGACACAATGGTTCTCCCTTCACTTGAAGCTGATGCAGCCAAGTTCCCTTCTGAGATCACTTCAAATCACTGTGTTGGACAAGGCTTTTTGCCAAAGTAGAAAGAATAGAAACTATTTGTACCACAACTGTGTGCCCAGGTTCTCTTTTCTGCAACCTCAGGAAAATAACTCTGTGGCACTAAGGTCATCCAGTTGGTGCTGCCTGGGCTCTTCTGGAACTGAGCCAGAGATCAGAGCCCTGCTTTCTGGTAGGCTTTTACCCCTGAAAAAGGGCAGGCCCCCTCTGCTTCAGTCACTATGCTTTGCTTTACCCCAATTTTGACACAAATTGTGCCTAAGGATGCTGGAGAACTGAGAACTGCCTTGAACAAAGCTATAGAAGTCTTGCCTAGTTTTCCAGGCTTTACAATCCCAGTCTTACATGTGCTTCTGTAAGCCTGATGTGCATCCCAGTGGCTCGGACTGAGGGGACAAGACTTTTCTGCAAACCTGGTGTGATGGCTTTGGTTTGGCTCAGAGAAATCAGGAGCTTGTCAGGGCTCCTCTTGGGGCTGAACACAGTCCAGGGAGCAAGGACTGGGAGACAAATCAACATGCTCTACACACCAGCACAAAGCACTTTATCCAGATTATGCCAGAGGAAGAGTCTTATGTTTATGCCAGTGAAATTTGACCATGAAATGAGAACCTCTTCCCTTTCCCTTAAACTTGAAACAATGCAGATGGGGCTTCAGGTCATCAGGCCTGAGATGTTCAAACCTGTGGTTTTTTCTCCCTCCAAAGCTGTACATTCTGATGTCTCTCAGGTCAACTTTTATCTCCCCAAATACATTGTAGGAGCAAAAAAAGTTATTAAACTCCAGGGAAAAACTGGTTCCTTTCCTGCGAGACTTCGTTCCCTTTCCCATTCCCCGTGAATGTCATTGTATCTGCTGTTTGCTGAGCAGGAAATGCATTATTAAAGCAGTTTCTCCTCCATAAACTGCTTTGCATCTGACTGTTTCATTGTAAATCCGTAGCCACAAAGTCAGGCCACCTTGGGATAACCCAACGTGAAACCTGACCTGATGAAAATGGTTCATGCCTCCCGGCCTGCATTGCAACCTGTGAGAAGGGCTTTTATTATTTATTCAAAACCTGTTTAAATCCCTCTCTTTCTGAAACAACCATTTTAAAAATATTAAAACACCACGGCTAAGCCGGGAGATTAAACAAGTTTAAACCTTATCATCGCAGGTGGGATATTAGTTGGAGCGAAGCGGGGAGGGATGGCAGGCTGCGCGGTAACTGGAGCCCCTTCGACTCAGTAACTAATCACCGAGAAAGCATTTGGGGAGGGAGGGGGAGAGCGGAGGAGGGAGCGAGACAAACAATGCGCCCGGGCTCCTGGCAACCCTCACTGTTTACCATGGTGATGCACAAAAGGAAGAATGCCGCGCAGAGGAGCAGACCTGGATCTGTCCCCGTAACACTTGCCCTACATTCGAGTGCTCCGGGAGGCTGAAAGTGTGACCTTCAGATATTTTTTTTTTTCTGATGGGTGATGCTGCAGCTGGACAACGCTGTTCCAAAGCTGGCAAAAAGCAGCAGAACATTTGCCTGTGTTTCTTCCATTGCATGTTTTTCTTTCAAATATTCAGCTGTCAATGCCTCTCCACCAGATCTCCACTCTTGTACTTACACTTTTTAAGGGGAGCCACAATCTTTCTTTGTGTTTTGTTCACCCACAATTATAGTTTCATTGAAAATAATTGAATTAAAACCCATCAAACTCCAAAGTTTTCATGGAAGGGATGACTATTTAAAATATTTTCCTCTAATGGGAGTAAGATTTGCCAACAGGCCATTCCCGTTCTAAGGTACCGTAACTTCCATTTTCTATTCAGGAATAGCTTATGAGAACAACTCCAATGTCTCACGGCTGGATCAACCCTTTTCTTCTTACCCCAGGGTTCTCCACAGCCACAGGCCTGTGTTTAGTCCCATGGTGTAGGAGGATCACGAGTGGAAGCACAGCCTGGTGAGCCCCAGCAAGCAGATCCTAACCCTGAGACACAGATGTGCTGGACAGGAGAGCCCTGCCCAACACTGGGGCAACAAAGGTGTTTATCAATACAGACACTTGACCTTCTGAGAGGTGAGAGAATCATTTAATGCCAAGAGAAATTACACTGGTTGCTTGCAATTTTAACCTCTTTTTGTCACCAACATTGAAACTTATGGACTTGTTCCATTTCTAGGGCATCTTTACACACACACCATTGAGAGGATGTAATAGAAAAAAAAAGTGCAAACAAGGTTTTAAGGGTTTTTTAATTGTCCTAGGTGAGGGGCAGTAATCACACAGTGATAATTCAGAAATCCAAGTACTCCATGAGAAGCTTCAGGAGGAAAATTTTAACATGTAAAAAACTCACTATGATCTAAAAAGTAGCTGAAGGCAAAAGAGCTTGAAACCACAACGTTATCTGTCCCTCACTGCTGCTTCTGAAAAAAGGGTTTTAACCAAAAACTAACACTGCACCACAGTCTGTCCAAGGAAGAAGGAAAGGTTTGGCAGCTGGGAGCTGGCTCACCTGGGCTGGACAGCTTTCATCCAGCCCTCACTGAGGAAAGTTCCAAGTGTACATTGGTTCATTTTAAACACAAACCTGTTTCTAACAGAAGAATTTGTGCTTTTACCATGTACCACAGGTACTTAGGCAGGCAGGCACTGTGATCTGTATAAACCCAAACCATTAAATAGCCCTTGGCCACTGCTTAGAGTGAGACAAGTACCTGCCTGAGCTATGTACTGAAATTCTTCCGGGAGGAAACAAGGGGGGGCAAAGTTAATAGAAATCTCAGAGCACTAAAAATGCAAGTGAAACTCCTGGAAGGAGAACTGCTGAATGCTGCATCCAGAAATACTTAGGAGAAGGAATCTGAAAACAGTAAACAAGGTGCTTTGGTGGGGTCACCAGTGGGTGTGAAGGGCAGAAATACACTGTGAGAGATGGAGGGGGAAGAATCTCTAACCTTGAGGCATTAATACAATTTTGGGTGGGAATTGTTAAAGAAACTCTTAATTGTGATTGAAGGAACACTCCAGCAAGACATGGGAAAAGGTAGGTTTCATTGAATTAGAGATTGCCATGAGATTCTCATGAGTAGCACAGAAGTGGAACACAGGGAGAATCCACATGGCTCACAGAGCATCCCAACATGCTGCCTCTTGGAGGACGGACTTTCTAGTCATGATGTGGCTCAGGTACATTTCCAACTATCAGCTCTAAAGGATTGGAGTGATTGCCCGGTGGTTTAGGATTCTGGTGGGTTTCTTCCATTGTTTTGGGGATAATTTTTCCCCCCCTCTCTCTAAGTATTGTCTCTGCAGTGTAGGATGTTGTTTTGTTTTGTTTTTTCCCCCTGAGTGACACAGGCAGCCCACCCACATTCAGTATTCCTATATACAGTTTAATTTCGTGTAGGGGATAATCACCACTTCCTATCCCAGCTACATTAGTCTCTTCCCATATACCAGCAGCACATAGATACAGTTTGGGATGCAAAACACATTTAAAGCTTGATGCTAAAATATTCCTGCATCAGAGACGTACAGAAAACCTTTCCATCTGCTGTGTGTGGCTCTGAGTCACCACCCTGCATTGTCCACAGTGCCCAGTTTGTACTTAGGAAACACCACAAGACCAGCCAGTCCTGACCCCCTGTTGTACTGGGCAAGTACTGTTTGGAAGTACAAACCATCAATGGCCACAAACACAAGTGACACATAACTGTCTTATTAAAGTCTAATGACACTTATGATGCCTTAAAATCATGGAATTAATGACATGGTCCAAGAGATGTCCGACACTGCCTTCCACTCATGACACAGTCCCAATATTCTACAACAAGCACCTCCCCAGTGAAAGCCTTATTTAATTGCATCTGCTTTAATGAGTAAAACAGCTCTTTATCAGGTCTCATCCGTATGCAAAAACTCATTTTTTTTGTCAGACAGAGTCCAAAATCCCTCTGGTTTTGAGCATTTATTAGGCTTTAATGCAAAGGTTGCCACGCAGAAGGCAGCAGGGTCGGTAGATCCCTGCCCAGGCAGAGCCCTCACAACCGACCGTGCCAGTGAGACCTGCACGGGCCCCCTCAACCTGTCAGAGTGCCACAAAGGAGCCCTGCAGCGGTCTGCTCCCAACCCCTGGAATTGCGGTGTCCCCCCGAGCATCCCTGTCCCGGTGCGGCCGCGCTGCCCCTGTCCCGCCAGCCTTGGGCTGCGGCGACACCTCCCGGGAGCCACCGGCACAGAACGGCACCAGCTCCGCTCCTCCACTGCCTCTCCTCCAGTGCTCCATCCACCATTTCGAAATAGCCTGCGGATTTTTGACAGCGGGGACAGCAACTTTGTTCCTACTCGGCGTTTGTGTTATTCGTTCCTCAGAGAGGCAGCCCTTTGTTTTACTATCAGGACATGCAACACCAGTATAAGATCACAGGAGACAAGACTGTAAGCTCTTTGCTATACAAGAGAGCTGGAATCTAACTGGCAAGTGGGTGAAAATTGCTTAAATAGTGGTAATTAAGAGCCCCCTTACTTCTTAATTCAGTGTAGAATTGTCAAAGGCCCGGAATATTTGCCTGCACAGACAAACACCAGCAGTGGATAATAGGGATAAATAAGTACATTCACACACTGGGAACATCCTTAAGTCCCAGTTCAGCCCAAACACTCTCCCAAATTATGCAAAGCCTTTTTTCTGGTTATGACCTTTGAAAGGTTATGTGTGAGAACATAAGATGCTCTTGCAGCACCCTTTGAAAATTCACTTGTGTGACTGGATAAATCACTTCCACATCAGCCCCGTGTACATCCCAATTAGTGGTGTCTGTTCTGCTCTAGTGAGGACTGGGATTTTAAGGCCCCTGTCAGAGGCAGAAGCTTCCAAATTCTGAGCAGCAAGGAAAGAACGTGAAGTGTCTTTATCTTCCTATTGATGACTTGGGCTGCACTTAGTCAAAAAAACCCCACCCTCCATAGCTCCTGAATCACACCCCAAAGGGAAGTCAATCCTTCCACATGGGGAACGGCCTGGTGACTCCAGCAGCTCAGAAACCTCACAGTCCCAGCTGGCTCTGTGGGGGAACTCCAGCATTTGTACCCCAACACAAATGTAAGGGTGCACAAGGACCCTACTAAGGTCCCTTTGTAAACAGGCCCTGGGATTTCACGAAGGCTCAAGGTGTGGGGAAACCAGCTGCTGAGAACAACAAACAGCACTGACCCCTCCATCCACTGCAGAGACCCCTCCTGGCAGCTCAGTCACATCCTCTGTCCCCTCAGCACCACATTTCACCCAGGAGTAGTTCTGGCTACTCTTCATAACAAATATAGAGCAATATCATTACATTCAGACATACAGAAAGCAGATTAAAGCTTCTGAAGTCAAGCTGAAATGGGATTCTTAAGTGTTCTGCAAGCTTGGGCCTGTGCTGTCAGTGAGCACAGGACAGTATCTGGCCACTCTCACTACTTTTATCCCAGAAATGAGTGTTAGAACTGTAACAGGAAGAGTGTTCCTAGATGCTTGTTTTTCAGTCTCAGCTCTCCTCCATAAGGGTTTTTCCCCCCCTCCTTAACAGAATGGCACAGTCTTCAGCCTCCTCCCCTGGTTCCCATCTTCTTTGGAAAATAAACAGCTCTGATTGTTGTGCACTTGAGATTATGAAAACATCAAGTCCATTAGTATTTGGCAAAGTGCTCTCTCATTTCCTTCTGATGTAATAATTGAGAGAGAGGGAGCGGAGACTGCAAAGATAGCACAAGGCACGAGTTAATGACCTTCTCACATGTACGTGTGGGCTCTTTTACAGGGAGCCTTTTCCAAGCCCCATCTCGCCTCCACTCATACTGTTTCAGCTGAAACACTGCTTCAATGTGGCTTTTATTATTTGATCTGCTGTCCCTTGGCCAGCCTTCAGAGGCAGCTAAATGGCAGGCAGGTGTGGGGGGCTGAGAGACAAAAAGCAAATGGAGCTAATGCTTCAGCAGCCCCGCTGCACAAAGGCCTTCAGCTCCAGGCCCCACGGGCAAATGCCACTGTTGCCCATTTCTTGTTGCCTGATTTGGTTTCACTTACACATCTAAGTCAAGGAGGGGAATGTGTTCTGCTTCACTTTCTGAGAGAGATTCTTTGGAAGACTGAAGGCCTGATAAAAATCAGGACGTGGGTGGAATGAGTGTAGAAAGAGATCAACTGTTGAAAGAAAATTAACTGAGGTCAATGGTTGCTACTCTATAAAGTATTGGACTGGCCACCCACTTATTAGACTGCCAAATTTGTGTCTTTACTTTAGGTGCCTAGAGCCAAATTAAAGTGGGATAAATTCCATGGGTAGGTATAGTGTTCCCTGCCGGCTTTCTAGAGACTTGACTTTAGTCTTTTGAAGTGCTGCTAGAAACCTCCAGAGATGTGTAGCTTTCCACACTAGCTTAACTGGAACCTAAGCCAAAAATCTCATCTCATTTAAAAAAATAATCTTAATTTGACAGCTCGGGTTTTGGGGAAATAAAGATTACCCTGTGCCAAGTGCTCTCAGTTGAGGCCCCCACTGTGAAGTGGCCAGGTGAGCCAAAAGGTGATCATGTGGATACTAATCCTCCCCCACCATACTGAATCCCAGTCCTTTCCTGTACCAGGTGTCCCTGCTCCCACTGGATTCACAGTAGTCAGCACCCTGGAAAGAGGAAGCACATGTGGGATCACAAGCAGACCTCAGTGAGGGGCTCCCTCCTGTAGGTGAAGGCTTCTGCCAAGGCTCACCAGGCTGGATGGAGCTCTGAGCAACCTGGTCCAGTGGAAGGTGTCCTGCCCATGGCTGGGGGTTGGAATGAGAGGAGCTTTAAGGTCTTTTCCAACCCAAACCATCCTGTGATTATGGATTACTGCTGTCTGTCAAAGATGGACAGCAGTGCCAGAAGGTACCACACTTCTTGGTGCCTAGAGAAGGAATCCTTCCTCCTTCCCACCAAGTAAGGATGTGCAGACACCTTTTCCACCTGTGCCTGGAAGTTGGAGAGTTAGACAAATTAGGTTGATGTATTCCAAGTCCCAGCAGGGTCTGGGCTCCCCCTGTTTTGCCAC